CACCCCCTTAAAAAATCCTGGCACCGCCCCTGTAGGTGCACGAGAACATGAGACAAAAAGTAACAATATAACAAAAGTAAAAATAAGTTGTTAACAGAACGCAAATAGGCAATAGAAATTTAATGTAACTATTATTTTTGCTCATATCGGAACACCAACGTCAACATACTACTTGCTTTATGATTTATCTCACTCTAAAACACATACAACTAAAAGTCCATTTTCAATTTTGTTACAAATTTTTGCTTTAACCAGCTAAAAAAAAGGAAAAAAAGGTTTTAGTTTAAAAATAGGAGAAAATAGGAATATGTTCAAAAAATAGAAACTGGACAAATTGTTTATATATTAGAAAAAGTGATTATCCTACAGTGTGAAATTTTCAGGCAAGGCAGCCATGTGAAGCGTTAAAGTGATCGCTGGTTTTTGTTTTCCCTTTCATCCCCGTTAGGTAGAGCGGCAATGTACATGCCACTTCTGGTAGATGCTTCTCCTGCGCGTGCTGGAGGTAAGATGTACACGTGATCATGGCATTTTCACATATTGATAGCCTGAGGAAACAGCCGACATTTCGCGACGCCACCACTGGTTTTTCCGCGAAATGGCATCTGAGAAACGAGCGCAGAAATTCCATACAGATGACGCGTCACTACACAGGGGCCCGTTTCTCGAAAGTCCCGGTAACTTTTCGGGCCCGAAATCAAATTTTCGAATCGAAATATAAAGAATAAGAGCGCTGGTCCTGGCTAACAAATTGCGCCATTTTGTTTCATTAACTGATAGTTTTATCACCTTAGATGCAAAACTATTGAAACCTCTATCTTGCATGTAAACCACAACAGCTTTACGGGCCCGTAAATTATCGGGACTTTCGAGAAACGGGCCCCAGGTCTGGACAGTGCTTCTGATTGGTCGTGCCGCCAAGGGAAATTTGCTGCAGCCAATCAGAAAGGGTAGGTTCTCCACTTTGACGTTGCGCGGGAGACCGGGTCAAGATGGTTGTCAAAGTGCATTGTGGGACTGTTTTGGGGAACACATTTTCAACAGGGACATAAACTCCATAACAGGCCTTTACACTTTTAATTATATAAATAAATGCCCTAATTGTTTAAACAAATGTTATATTTTTCATGATCGAGAAGTATTGCGCTTTGACTTAAACTTCTCGGCTCGTAAAACTTTACCTTCCTTCAGGAACCACGTACTACACAGTTAGTGAAAGCTTTCAAGAGATAACCTTATTTTGTATTCATTCATATCTGTTAGGTAAAGTGAAAAGTAAAGCTCTCCCAGGAGAATTTGTATCTCGGCTTGATGCAGGTAAAACCCTCCTGTCTTTCCCTTTTTACTAACCGGTTTGTGTGTGGGAAAAGTGATTATCCTAGAGTGAAAATTTCAGGCAAGTCACAGCCTTGTGCAAGAGGCGTTATAGTGATCGCTTGGTTTCGATTTCCGTTTCATTCACGTTAGGTATAGCGGAAATGAACCCTGGTTCGGAGACAGTGAATGAGCCACTTAAGAAAGTTGATTATCCTTCTCGTGCTGGAGTTAAGATGTAAATTAAAAACAGACGGCATTTCGTGACCCCACCACTAATTCCCCGTAAAATGACGTCTGAGAAATGAGCGCATAAATTTCATACTGATGACGCGTTTATGTAAATGTTTGCGGCAGGCCCGTAGCAGGTGGGGAAGGGGGGGTGGGGGTCTCGAGCCTCCAAAATGTTTGGAAGTTAAAAAACGTGGCAAAATATATAACTGAAACATGTTACAGTGTATGTTGCGTATATTCGCCTGCTTTGGATTTACTCTGTTATGAGTTGGATGTTATAAAAATTTAATAGCCAATGTCAATAGCTGGGAGGTATCAATCTTGCTTATGTGGAATCTGAAAGGTGAACGACAGTTGTAGGTAACGCATGCGAATGAACTCATTAAATTAGACATTTATCAGTTTCATCCTTATAAAGTTACTCAAACTTGACCACTCGATTAATGGCCAAGCTTTTCTTTATGCCTTCGTTCGTTCTTGTTGGGTTGTACCAACAAACAAGATCACAAGCAATCTTACGTTTTTTTTCAGTTAAGGTACAAAAGTAGTTTTTTCCCTCCCTGATCAAAACGCATAGAGGGTCTGATAGATAGCTTACAAAGTTGCTGATGCTGCACCGTATGTAATGACCGGCCTTAAACTGTGGTCTGGCTGTGTTTGAGAGAAGCTTCAAAGTTTCACCATGGGTTTCTGGTTTCACCAAATACATTTCCTATTGATCACTTAAGTGGGTTTAAACAAATCTAAACGATTGAGCATGCCAAGCCTAATTTAACCAATTAACGTTTGACAACAGAACTTTAGAGTTACACTGAACCAAAACAGAAATTTTGATTTAGGTAAAACTCAAAGTGAGCTCTAATCCCAAGCATGGCTACTTCAAGAACCGACAGTCAAATTTAACTAATTAAAGACGATAACACTCAAAACCTTATCAAACACCAATGTAGGAAAGTGCGGATTGCTCTTGAACTACAGACCTTTTCAAAACGATACGTTTGCACGAGTGAGACCTCGAGCACAAACAAAAACTCAACTAAAAAACGCACGACATCAACGGGGTCTGCCGGATTATGCTCGAAAAATAGAGTATTATGCTTTCGGGCGTCACCCGTGAAACTAGGGTATTATGCTCAAAATTATGCTCGACTGGAGGTATTGTGCTCAAATTATGCTAAGAGCGAGTTACTGGCAAAATTTGCATACACCTCTCACAGTTTTCAGAAACAGAGGCATTATGCTCCAAAAATATTAGTATTATGCCAGCATTATGCCTGATGCTCCAGATATAGTATTACGCTCAAAATTATGCCGGCATAATCCGGCAGAACCTAGACATGAATGATCAAAACAATCCACAAACTACTTAACAACATACCTCCCCATGACACAAAAGGATAAAGAAAATAATAAAAATATATTTTTCATGTTATAGAGTCTATTATAAAGATAGTAGAGCAGCCAAAATCACAAACAGTCAAAGAAGGGTCGAAAGTTGAACTAGCTTGCAAGATTGAGAGAGCGAGCAAGAGGTTCATGTATCAGTGGTATAAAGATGGTGTTGCCATGGATGGGAAGAACGAGACCGTTCTTGTTCTGGATCCAGTTGAGCTGCGGGATTTTGGGGCTTACGTGTGTCATGTGAGCGATAAGAATTCAGATGACGAAGGCGAAGATTCAAACACTGCAAGACTTGACGTCATCCCAAAGCCGGGTCGAAATGGAATGCGACCGAAACGTCTGACAGAGTTAGACTATGGAATGGCGGAAGATTTGGCATCGCTATTGGAAATCAAGAAACCCAGGCTCAGGGGCTGGAGAGCAATTGGTTCTAAATACGGTCTCACACATTACAAGCTAAGGCTTATGGCTAATTCCGGTGAACCTGGGACAGACGTCTTGAGATATTTGGCAGCAAGCGAACCAGAATTGACGGTGTATGATTTTTGTAAAATACTTAAAGACAGCTTTAAGAGGTTGGATATTGTAGCGAAACTAGAGAATAACTTCTTAGTCGCGATCAGTGACGAAGATAGTAAGTGAATCTGGGCGTGCTCGAGGTTTTGGCTGGTTTCATTTATTGTTTGCAAGAGAATGGTTCAAAAAAAAAGCCTCAAGTTGTTTTGAGGAATTCATGGTGTTAAATGCCCCCACCCCTAACCTGGTTAGGGCTGAAAGTAATAATAGTTATAGTGATGAAAAAAAAAAANTTGGTTCTAAATACGGTCTCACACATTACAAGCTAAGGCTTATGGCTAATTCCGGTGAACCTGGGACAGACGTCTTGAGATATTTGGCAGCAAGCGAACCAGAATTGACGGTGTATGATTTTTGTAAAATACTTAAAGACAGCTTTAAGAGGTTGGATATTGTAGCGAAACTAGAGAATAACTTCTTAGTCGCGATCAGTGACGAAGATAGTAAGTGAATCTGGGCGTGCTCGAGGTTTTGGCTGGTTTCATTTATTGTTTGCAAGAGAATGGTTCAAAAAAAAAGCCTCAAGTTGTTTTGAGGAATTCATGGTGTTAAATGCCCCCACCCCTAACCTGGTTAGGGCTGAAAGTAATAATAGTTATAGTGATGAAAAAAAAAAACACCGCACATCGTGATGATGATGATAACAATAATAATAACTACAACAACAACAGTAACAATAATAATAATAATAATAATAATAATAATAATAATAATAATAATAATAATAATAATTATAATAATAAAATAAAATTCCTTTATCTACCCTCGTCAGTATTTATAGCACTAATGCTAGTGGGCCCGTGCAAATGCCTGAAACAAATAATTCAAATCAAACTAAACAGCGTTAAGAATCCCAACTGGCCGGAGGCAAACCAGCTGGCATTTTACAAGCATGGACGAGGATTTAAATTCGCGAAAACCATGAACAAATCCAGGGATAACGACAGTTATGTCAATGTAATTCATGACAATTATTATAATGAAAATGCTTGGTAGAACTGTAGTTTAAGTGAATGCGTATTGTGAACAAAGGCAATGCTTTTAATAATAATATGTAAACTTGATATGTATAGAGAAATAGAATAATCACCACTTCTGTGAAAATAGATAGTTTCAGTAAATCTGTAGCAAATGTTAAGAATTTTAAGAACGAGTGTTAGCTTAGGTAGCATAGTCACAAGCATTTTTTCACAGAAGTCAGTTGGAGATTTGAAGAAAACCCAGGTCACATTAATTTCTGCTAAAAGAATTAAACTTCGTGTCTCCTTATATTCAACGTGTTCTTAGAGTCTTCTCTCGTCAGCTATGCCATGCTTTAGCATATTTTTGAGGATGCTGACGTTGAGAAAAATATCCTGAGAATGGTACCGGTTCTGCTGTATGGAGTTTCACTGCTGTGTTGTGAACTACACTTATGCGATTGTAAGGATCACATTACTTTAAGAGGACAAAAAATAATAAGCAGTTCTTTTTCAAGGAACTGTCTCATAATAATTAAAAAGTGAAACTACTTTCACAGTGTAGCTTGAAAACTATTCTTTTTTTATTTAAAAATTTATGACCACTTTGATGGAACGTCTCAATAGCTGGGAGAAAGGGAGGAGATTAATAATTATTAATAAGGATGCAAACTAAACAGACACTGATTTTTCACATTCGAACACAACCACTGCATGTACATTTTGCGCAAAAGGAAACATAATTCAATGTAAGTATGCTCCTGTTTCTGCACATGTAATCAAACAGCAAAACTTGCATTCGGGCCACAGAACACCACAAACCTATTTTTCAATGTAATAAATTTTGCCTGTGTTGCACACTGTAGGTATAGAGAGGTAAGACATATTTTACACCCTGTACATAATTCTTCTTGCTATCTAAAATGTTTTTTTTTTGCCCACAAGGCCAAGAAATGACACAAAGATCATTGCATTTCCTGCCCTTGCCCTCTGTATACATCACTAACACACACCCATTGGCCTTCAAGTGACTCCTTCCATAAGCTCACCTGTACAAAAGCAAATGGAAAACAAGCTAGGAGAATTTTCAATCTGCAGTGAAAGTGCAGGACACTTTCATTCACTGAGGAATATTTCAGGGAACATGGCAAAGTGGACATGCCGTCTCTTAAAGTTTTAAAGGCTTGTTTATAGTGGAAATAGCACTTAGCTTATCCAGCTAGTTTATAGGCACTCCACTAAAAACAAATAATTCAAACGCAATAAACCAGCATTAAAAACCCCAACTGGCAGGA